CACCCCCCCCCCCCCAGCCATTGCTAATTTTCATGACCGGATTACGCTACCCATTGTAGCTCCCCAATTTCCTCACGATGCTGGTCGAAAGCTCATGAGAAAATTTCTTTTCCCCCCGAGACTCGAACCAGCGCGCATTCCTTATCGCTGGTCCGAAGCATGATGCCTCAGAGACATTATTTTGAGTTCAGATTTATTTTTCTCCTTTTCCATCATTCATGATCTTTGGGCACCTAGCACACTTCGATGAATGCAGTTATATATCGATGGTGATGGTAACCCTACCAGCTGATTGGATGGCTGGGTGCTATGCGATGATTTAATTTGATATGCGCCATATTCTTTTGTAATTAAAATGTTTCCATACTGTTCCCCTACTCTTGTGTTTCACCTCCTGAACCATCTGATCAAAACATTTTGGCCATTTCTCGACTTATTGTGTTCGGTGTTTGTGTATAGAGTTAAGACGTAATGGGATAGTCCAACATGATCTAACTCAACTGGAGACTATTAAGCTGCTGCTGAAATTACTGAAGAAGAATCTAAAGGAGAGGGAGGAGGTCACCGTTAAATATTGGGAGAAAATCGACAAAATTACTGTAAGTAATAAGAGAGATTCCAAATGTTTGCGTAATTTCGTATTTGTATTGAGGAGAACTTGTAACAGCAGAGTTTTTCACATAAATGTGAAATGTCAGACGCACGCAAATTGGCTAAGCACCACAGCGTGAAGGCATAGAGGGGGTGTAGGTAAACCTCCACGCGATTTTAAACTTGGCACTACCCGCGGGTGAGCAGTCTTCTCCGGTCGCTTCATTCTCGGGAAAAGAGCGTCCCGTGTCCACGGGACAGGATGCTTGGTCCCTTCTGATATATCATTCCCGTAAAAATCACCGTCAGCTAGATATTGAACTTCAGTTATCTTGCATTGGGCTTCATATTAAGGAAGTCCGGAGTTCCATTCGTGGAGTAGGCCTGTTATGTCTTATTCCCAGTCTGTCGAGGAGAACGCTTTCGTACTACTATTTTTTGCGTTATTTTAAACTGAAGTGATCATTTTCAATCAATAAACACACTATAACGTAATGCAATTGAAAAGCATTATCTAATAAACTTAGAGAAATGAATGTAATCTATTGGTGAAAAGTGCAGAGACGTTTCCTCAGTAACAAAGTCTGTGTTAAGGTTTCGATATAATGCACGTAACTACTGATGTTTCAGGAATGTTACAGAGCCGAATTAAATGAAGTGATGGACAGATTTGATGCAGAGAGTAGGAAGATAAGTGAGGAGTTCACGATGCTGCACAAATGCATGTTGGATCCATTTTCGAATAAGTAAGTTACGTACGTGAGAAACGCACATTTATTTAAGGAATATTTTCAAAGTTTGCTTTTTGAAATGTCAACAAACGACTGTCTCAAGATTTCTGCGTTCCGGGTCGTAGCACCGCGTAGATACTCGCATGTAACGCATATTATCATCATAATCATCATTGTTATTTGTTATTTAGATTAGAGTGCATGTAGTAAGTTATATTTTATTTTGTTTTTCCCCACGCAGCAGAATGTTATCAGATATAATCTCAAAGCCAATATTTATTTGTCACTAATATGTAATTTGATTTCAGTAGTGTCATCAATCAACCAACGTCACTACTGATACTGTTATCATTATTCTGATTTTCGTTGTCAGTGTCGATGGTAATGAAATCCTTACTCCCGACCATTACGCTGGAAATTTCATTAACTTTTAAACTTTCTACGTAATTTCTGGATAAATTGAGTACTATGCCGCAAGGATCCATTCACATGCGGTGGTGTGCGCTTTATTCTAGTGCTACGCCTCAATTCATGCGTAGTGGTTGTCATATAACGATTGTAAAGCTGCCAGAAAGTGACGTACGTCCAATCGGTGACGACGTCCAAAGGTCGCCGAAGCTTGGTCATCCCACCATTGATTAGAACAATGTCAGAGTCCTTGTTAGCTTTTCGCCCTCCGTCACACATCCGTGGAGGCTGCCTAAAACCAACATGCCACAGCATATTCACTACTCAGTCATTCACCCTCTTTTTTAAACTCTTACAATCATTTCTAGTAGAAACTTGTCTTTTGGGGTGAGTTTTTGTAAGAAAGCAGAAGACTTCTGCAGACAAACTGAGCGTGGCAACGATTTCTGATTCATAATTTTTCATTTTCTGTTTCTCTCATAGAAAAGTTACCGACAGTCATGCCATCATCTTATTTATGATACAAGTGTGTCCGGGTCAGTTTCATTACAGAATACCACCTGCCTGCCTAAGCTTCAGACATTTCATACTGTCTAATCTTTTTTATTTATTTGTATTCACTGCTTTTATTTAATTTATTTCAAAGCACGTTATATGCAAATACTTGATTATTTTTTTAATTTCCCAATTCAGAAATAAGGGTGTGCGTTATGCACTAGTAAATACGATGGCTAACTGCTTCCCTGTCTGACTAACAAAGCAACTAACTAGCTATATTGTGCTCTACTTCAGGCAGTTAATGCGCAGATTCCCTGTATGGAGACGTGAGTTTAATCCCAGGGCAGCATATGTGACGGGAAAACAGGTTACTTTCCAGTCATATCTGTTTGTAAGATCAGTTTTGTTATCTTCCCCTCATATGTGTCTAGGTTTCTTAAGTGGTTTGTTCCACACACCATTTTGATTTGTTCCCTGTTTTCTTTGTGTGTTCAGGGATGTGAAGGAACTTGCTTTTGAGAAGTTCTTCAACAGACACAAAAAGCAGGAAAACAAACAGACAGACGACACTAGCATGGACGAAGAGGTTGCCTTTGTGAATTACTTCGACAACCACAAAAAGCAGGAAAACAAACAGACAGACGGCCGTAGCATAGACGAAGAAGTTTCCGTTGAGAATTACTTCGACAAACACAAAAAGCAGATAAACAAACAGACAGACGACCGTAGCATTGATGAAGAAACGGAAAACGAAGTCTCAGAGGAAGAGGTATGCCACTACAAGTGAATTTCATGTGTAAGGACTTAACCAGTCTCTAAATTTAAGTGTTCGCTGAAAGTATCTGTTCTGCCAGTTTTATTTTGTGACGGTATTTATCATTGAAGACGACTTGTCTTCTGGGTTGTTGTGCCGTGTGTTCTGGTGGAAGTAACCCAGAAGACGGCCGTCTTAAAAGTCGCTGCTCTGAAAACCTCAAATCATACATCAGTATTTTATCATATTGTCCTCTTCTTTCCGTCACTCCTTTCCCTTTTTTTACTTCTTATTCTCCTCCACTCTACTTCTCTCTTTGCACCTGCGTCCTTCCTCTTCTTCTCCCTCCAATTTCCCATACATTCTTTTATTTCCTCCCTTCTTTTAGAATGTTTTGGACCATCTTGTCGTATTCTGAAATCAGACAAATTGCCTCATCTGTTTCACATAAAATCTGCTCTCCTTCCTCTTAGTCTCGATATAAGCGGTTCATTTGATGGTGTGTCTCGTTTTGTATGAAGAATGTGATTCTCTCTCTTTTCTTTATGTCTGCCATCCGGAACAATTTTCTTCTTCACTTCGTTCTGTATCCCTCAGCGTTATTGTCCACGAGGCACGAGAGTAGACGTGGCCTTATCAGCCGTTGCTTGTGTGGCGGGGGAAAGTGGGTTCTGCGCTTGCGCCGGTGATGTATTCCTTACCTAAGAACATCGTGCTATCAGTCAGTCAGTTTCGCTGTTTTGAAATCTCACGACGTACGGCCTGTATAAGCCGCGGGTGTTCCTCGGTCTGCTAGTAGCGCAGAATTCTACCCCACCTCCCTCAAAGATGTCAGGTCTACTCTCGTGCCTTGCGGACAATACTTGGGGCTCTGTTCCCAGAGGTTGCCCCATGGATAATAATTACGCCATTTTGTTGTCTTTCGTCGTAAGTGCATGAGAAGCGCATTGTAACCACATTGATTTGACTGCAGTAGAACTGGATGACCTTTGTAAATTTTGAAGTTCCTTATTTTGTTATATCTTCTATTCCCACGTACTTTAATCTCTCATATGAACCAAGAAAGAGGCCGCATTTCACAACCGCACAGCAGACAGGCAAAATTACCAGAAAACTTTATAAGAATCGAATGTGTCGTGTTGTTAAAACATTTTGCTTCGGAGTATAAAATTTTATGTACCTTTTTTAGGTGTGGTCGTGCAAGGAGCTTGACCCACAGGAAGAGGGACACGGAGATAACGTACCGCATATACACGTGTCTTTGATACTGACGAAAGAGCAAGAAGACAAGATGACGCTGACACCGCAGGTAACAGATCAGCGGACATTGCGTGAGCTGAACAGAAAAGCAGATGAGGTATTCAAACAAAATGGTCTGACGTTATGTATGGGGAAGTAATTTTGGACTATTCAAAGATCGTACGAAATGCAGTGGTGAAAATAATGTTGAATTAAATGTGAAGATAGTTATGAATAGTGGGTAGTTAAAAATTTTGGAAGATGGCGCCGTGACCTACTTTAGGATCCGACCTCTCAATTATCTGGAAAGACTGAGGGAACTGATAAAAGTTTCAATCAAGGCTTTTCAACAAAGTTTTCAAACTTTGGTTGATTCTGGTAAATGTGCCGAAATTCCCGAATAATCACCACGGTTGTCATCCTCGTCGCTTAAATTTACTGTAGCGTGATATTGTGAAATTTGTTAATTTAAACAGTGTATACAAAGTTCTCTGTTTAAATTAACCAATGAGTGCGTCCAGTTTTATTTAATTTTATTGTGTTCGAATGCACGAAGTGATGCAAAATAAACAAAAAAATATATATAACTTGTTTATTTTCAAGGTAAAGGAGCAGATCGAAGAAATGGATCATGAATTAACACACAGTGAACTGAATTTTATGGATGATGTGATGAAGGAAGGGGATAGAGACAAAGTAGAACGGATTTTTTGTCTCAATCATCTGATAGAAGATAGTCGGCTGCCGAATGGCAAATGTAGCGTCTGTTCAAGCAAGAATGAAGATGAATATGTCAGTTGGATTTCTTCCTGCCTGTTGGCGAATAGGAGTCACGGCTTGTGTGGCGACGACCGCGATCTGATTAATCGCCTGCTATTTGGCATTCTGCCAAACGAAACAGATTGTAAGGAGAGGCATACTTGCAAGACCACGAATAAAAGAGACTTCCAACCATCTCAAGTAAATCGTCCCGCTACGTCCCAATTCAGGCACTAGTGGGGAGCGGAGGTATAGCTCTTGACCTTGGCACCAGATGGGGGCGAGCGGTCAGCATCACACCCCGGCTGCGCTTTACCCCCGGGAAAGGACCCCGGTACCCGTCGGACAGGAGGCCATAGCAATTGAAAATTATTAAAGTTAAAAAAGTTTCACTTTGAAGATGACTTGTCTTCTAGAATGTTGCGCTGCGTAGTGTGGTAGGAGTATGCCGATATCTTGGGTGCTTACTGCCTCTGTCTTCAGGGTGATGAGTAACCTCTGCATGAGAAATTGGATTCAGATTTTGTAACATGTTGAGCAGGTCAAGACTGTTCTCAGGATAAGGTTGGACGAACTCCATTGCATTCTTCGTGTGATACAGAGAAATCCCCAGCTGTCCTCTGGGCATACTTGCCAGGCGGTGGATTGGGACCCTGATGATGCTTGTAAGTCATGAGGTTAGCATTGGTTCACAGGGCCTGGAGTGCTCTCTCTACTTTCAGCTCTTGGGACTGAAAGCCGTAAGTTCTCTGCTGGAAGAGGCAGCAGCTGAGGCAGTCCAACAGGAAACACTTGGGATCCGAGCGTTGTTTGTCCAAAGCTGAAGGAAGAGCTCTCTGTGTTCTGCAAACCAAAGCCAGCCTCACAGTCCACTGTCCTGATGTGACGGTGGTTCTCGACACCAGTGATTACAACCAAAGCATTGCAGCCATTTTAGTTAGGGGTGCCCAAGAACCACACTGTTGCCACAGAACAGAAGTAAGTTGTCACTTTCTGAGGAGATTCCCAACAACTATTACCACACGGTTTGAGCCCTCGTATACTGCGAGGGGGGCCACCCTTAGGCCTATCGCGAGCGCCATTGGGGTCTCATCTGACTGCTTGGTCCAACTTGATCAGGTTGCTCAGACACATCAGTTGTCAGTTAACCAGACTATGCAGCGCAACATCCCAGAAGCCAGTTGTCTTCTATTCGACAATGTGAGAACTGGAATATCACAGGAATTGGTAACAGACTTTGGGTTTTTTGAAATTAAAGATGGATTTATTGTACAGGTAGCCCTCGATTTGCGCCGGTCCAATTTGCGCTGATTCAGAATAACAGCGATTTTGAAACCAGAAAGTCAATCACATGAAAGAATCCCAGTCAGTCGCGGGGACCAACTAATTGCCGAATGTAAGTGTATATTTTTTAAATTCCCTTTATTTTATTTACGTTATTTCAGAGCTTTAAATGTAATTCCATTATATTACTCATCAATGTTTGGTGCTGGGAACGCGTGTCATTGACTTCCCATTGATTTACATTATAAAAGTTTCAGTTTACGCCAGTTCGTCCAGGAACACATCCTTGGCGTAAATCGAGGGCTACCTGTATTCACTATTACAGTTAATTATAAATGTTTCTTATTTTCATTTTTTCTTGTAAATATTTTGTTTCAAGATATAGAATAGCATTTGCATTTGTATTAATTTATGTTAAACTGTACACTGTCGTGTCTGAGTATATTGCTTTTATCAGTCAGGATTCACCTTACGTCTGCTGTTTGGCTCCAAGCTGTGTACCTCTGTGGGGCGAAGTACAGGGACAGAGGAGATGGAAGGACGTTTTTCGAAATAATTTATATTTTAGAGATATTTTGCCAATGTGAGAAATTTTTGTAATTTTTAAAAATTTGGAAAAATAAATAAATTTTGAAAATTATGGTTTTTAATTTAGAGATATTTCCCAGGTTTCCAAATTTATTTATTTATTTTTTTAATTTTGAAGCATTGAAAGTATTACAATTTGTAGGTGTATATTTTGAACGTTGGTAAATTATGACGGGAGTGACGATGTACACAAATATGTTACATATAGACTGCAATATATTTTATATTCCTGTCTTGAATGCTCGTGATATATTCTGTTCTTAATGAAGCTTCTGTTATCGCACGAACATCGGATTACGATTTGATGTGGGGAGTTTCTGTTCTTGTGATAATTTCTGTTTGTTAAGTTTGCGACCATGTCAGCGAAGATACTTCCGGTCATTTGTCCCAGCATTTTCGTTTCCGTCTAGAATGGCGCAATGTTTTGTCGTATTTTTTAGTTTGCTGGCTGCTAGTGGTTCATGTTAACAGTATTTGCAGGTTGTGTTTAATGTCATTGATACAAAGTGAAGCAGAAAAATTAATATGTATTGAAGGGATCAGATATTATGGATCTTTATTGAAATGCTATATAAATCCGTGTTTATTTACATTCATGTGATTGCCTTGCGGTGGCGGAATATGTGATTTATGAACGCCACTTACATTTCCAGTGCAGTGTTTAGGGAACGAACATTCTACTGGTGTTTAAATAATTTGTGAAACATCTTTCATAAAATTTTATATGTACGTTTTGCTATGGGTGATTGCTGCAAGAAAATATTTTCAAAATTTCTGCAAGCTTCAACACCAACGCGACGCGTGCTGAAATTCGTAAGTTGTAGTTGTGTTGGCGCTGTTGTCACTGGTCTAATACGCATGCGCTTTGGTATGTAAATATCACTAACCTGTAGAAACTTGTAGAAACCTGTCCTTTCATGTTCAAATATGTCAGAACCTCTTCGAATGTGCCCGAACAATACTAAACTGCTAAAGACTAGTTCGTACGATGACAGAGTTGTTTAAAACGATAGAAAACTGTCATACAGTGTCGTAAAATCAAACCAGTCATGTATGCAAACAGGCCGTTAGAAAAGGTTCTGACACGTCCCAGTTGTACACGATGGTCCCGACACAATCCCACCCCCAACACAACATAAATGATACATAACGTAGTACCATAAAGATATTCAACATTTAGAGGATTAGGAAGCCGTTATGGTTTCTAAATATTTAGAATTTTTTTTAAAAAAATATTAAACAATTTCCAAAAAAAAATTATTGTTCAAGAAATTTCAGTTTTTTTAGAATATAAATAATTGTCAGCGTTTTAAAAATTGGAAAATTAAACAAATTACATTTCTTATAATTGTTAAATTTTTAAAGTTTAAGATATTTTTTTTCAGATTTCTAAATTTTCAAACTTTTGGTGTTTTGATAGTTCTAAGGAGTTCCAATTTCCAAGTTTTGAATGTATTCTGAATGTTGGAAAATTATGAAGAGAACCACGTGCACAAGTACGCTGCTCACAGTCTGAGTCTTAAATCTTTTATGCCTGTTTCTGGAGCGTTCGCAAACTCGTGAAACTGTGTGGTATTCTCTGAAGCTTCTGAGATCGCACACCAGAGTACGATTCGAATCGGTATATTTTGTTTTGTGCTAATTCCTGTTTGTTAAGTTGGCGACCTTGACTCAGCGAAAATGATTCTGGTCATGTGACCCAGTATTTATTTTGTACGTGGTATGGCGCAATGTGGTGTTGGATTCTCGGTAAATGTCGATAGTATTTTCAGATTGTGTTTAATTTGTTTTTTCGTCAAGTCCGAAACTGAAAATTTTAGTTTATTTGGAAAATTGTGATATCATAAATAGTAGGAATGATAATGTAAGTTTTGTAAATCTGAAGTTCGTATTAGTTCGTCGCGTGCCTTATTTACTCCGGGAACACAACAGTGCTGTTTTTGTCGAAACGGAAAGCTTTGTTGAACCATGCAGGGCGCTTTCTACTGCCGTTGTGAAGTTTGTACGTTTGATTGTTGCCTTGTTGGAAATTTCTGATGAAATCAGGGTACAGGTTTTCTAACGATACCCCTGCACCCTGGTTCTTTGAACCTGACAATCCTCCTCCTGGATAGTATCCGAATCCGCCTGTTGGGCGCCCTAGCGCCGTTGAGAACCCCTGCGCGTTTGCAGCACTGCTGGAGGCTCCAAAATTAGCTCCATTTGTCTGGAACCCGAAGCTGGAGGCGTGGCTAGACGCGTGAGCTCCAGGCCCACCGCTAGACCCACTAGAAGCTTGGCTGCTAGCCTGGCTGTCTATTATCGAGGGGCCGCCTGATCTGTGGATGAAACGCTCGTTCTGAAAGTCGTGCAGACAAACCGGAACAAAAGCCGTGCAGAGGCTGTGTTTGTTCCGGGTGTATAATAAACACAGAGAAACTTATAAATAATTAGCTAAAGCTTTGTTTTGTGCATGTTCAGCTTTGGGGGAATTGCCCAACGTTTCAGACAAACGTTTCTGTCCTCAGGGTGAATGTGGTGTCGAGGTTTTTTTTTTAAATAATATTCGTGGTTTTCATCTGGCACAGTACTTTGAAATATACCACTACGACGTTTTTCAGCTTTTGTTATTTTGCTGTTCGTAAATATCATCTCGTTTGATTCCAGTAGCCTCCGCACTTGATCTAACGTCATTAAACCCTGCTTATTTCATATAGTAAAAATAAATGTTGGGAAATTTTGAAAATGATGATTCTAATAGGTTTTGCTACCAACATTTCGATATACAGCGTGTCTGAGGAATTCCGAGACTTAAGAATATAGATTTATGTAAGACTGGGATGTCTTGCTTCGTACCCATGGTAACCAGGGAACTGTGAATTGAAACTTGAAGACTGGCTAGCAGCCTGCGAAGCGCTGAAACCACTGGACCCGGCTTCAAAGTTGAAGGACTGGCTCTGGCTGCTAGAGTGGGCCTGACCCTGCCCGCCATAACTGCTGCTGAAGCTAGCAGATCCTGATATTCCTCCGCCGTTCGGCTCAACTCCGAAATTGAAGGCGGTGCTTACACCCCCAGTGTCAAGACCGATCCGAGGCTTGACTCGTTCGTCTTTTGTTTCGTCTCCGTGGTTACTGCTGGTCTTAGGCTGCGCGGATGACCCTTTGTCGGGAAACACAATAGAGTCATCCGCAGATACTGCAACAAGAATGGGGTTTGGACCCAGGGGGTCATCGTCTGTCTGCTGTCTTGGTAAAAATAATAAAAGTTCTGTATATCGAATTTAACTAGTATATGTTCATGTAGTCCCTTAAGCGACATGACCCTTAGAGCTAATCGACGTAATTAAACTTACGCGTCACAAGAATACTTCACGTGTAGCGTCTTGTTTCGAGTTATAATACAATTTGTCAAATTATCCAAAATGTAAGTGCATCCTAGATCAGTGGTATTCAACCTTTTTTTGTTCGCGTACCCCCCAGATATAATTTCTCTTCAAATTTGTACCCCCAAAGTTGTTGGTGTATAATTCAAGTTATATACAGTATATAATCTACTTCTAAAATAAATTAAATTACTGATTATTCAGTGTTTATCATAAAATAATATAT